TCTCAAAACCAGCACCTCAGACATCTTACCAATCCTTGGGAGGCTACCTTAGCTTTGCCACGTATATCAACTACTCAATCTCATGAGAATTTATCATTTTAGTAAACAGCATGAGAAAAAGGAAATCCTCCATTTCTCAGATCTGCTGTTCGCAGGTAGAACAGCACCTTACTGTCAATTTATCAAACTAAATGCAGTAACTTGAGAGAACAGGGAAACAGAAACATTTGGACTGAGAGTCTGCTCAACAAGGCAGAGAAGGAACACTAATTTCAATGAGTTATTTTTAATCTCCAAAAACATTTTATCTATAGTAACATTATTCCAATGACAGAGCATGAATTGAAATAGAAACCTAAGTTGCAAGGATGGTTACCTTAACCAAAATATTTCATCTCACAACATCACCACTTGTACAACAAGGTCTCTGCAGAACACTTTTTAAATTTCTGTTAAAAAGCATCCACGGAAGCCATTGAATATTCAATCACAGTCATCAAGCCACACTGAGTTTTAAGGACTAGCCGCATGAACTCGAAACATAGCAACAACAGAATCACAATGACAATTACAAACAAAATTGCCAACAAGAGCCTAAGGATGAACCCGCAACGTGCCCACCCTGTTTACGCTGCACAACGTAAGTGTCCAACCCACTTACACCCTCCCTGTATCACACAGAGTCACAAGCAAGCTGACAAGTAAAGCTGTGTCTGCCAGCTGTCCTCCCTGGCCCAACACCCCCCTGCTCTATCCACAGATGGCTGCCACTCCTCAATCTTTGGCTACCATCAAATAACTTTCCTGCCTTCATTTTATGTTTGTTAAAAGGTTCTAACACATGTAAAAGAGAAGTCTCTTTCCTACAAGAAAACAACAAGATTTCCTTCACCATGCCCAATCCAGGTAATTGCTGTACCTGTGCTGGAATCACAGCATGAACACAACAACAAAAAAAATCACCACAAATTCACTTCTACCATCACTTGTTACCCCAGAGAAACTGCACTCATCCTGCGGAGCATCTCACAGCGACATCTTCATGTTCTAACGCGTAAAACTGCTTTGTGTTTGACCACAGCTAACAAAGAAGTGCATCTGTTTTCAGGTGCAGTACCTGACACCAATTTTTCTTCTCGCTTCACATAAACTGCCTCCAAGGTTAGACTCTCACTTTAAAGTTAACAGCACGACTGAATTAGACATTTCAAGACAAAGCCATGGTGTCTCCCCACTTCTGTCACAGGAAAAGTACTAAAGAGAACAGACAGTAAAGACAACAGTACCTCTTCACTTCCAAAACGCAAAAAGAAACAGGAAGAACTTTATCTCAAGGCTACGTAAGAAATACAGAGACCCAGCTCCACCCATTTCACTTCAGGTGCCTGCACTTGAGTCCCAACAAAGAGTAAAACTGAACCAGGTCACCATGTGCTTTACAAATCCACCCTGGAAGCGCTTTCTTTGCTCCGCAATAATCTTAACATCACAGGAGACTCTCAGCCATTTATTTAGCGAACAAGAATGTATTCTCAGGACATCAAAACACAATTTCCATGACTGCTTTCACAAAGGATGCAGTAAGATGAGTAGATTAGAAAAATTAAATAGGAAGAGACGAAACCGAAGAAACATTTCAAACACAAAGGTACAGCTACACTTCCTAACATTACTATTAAGAGCACAACACAAGTTGTTTCACTCTAAGTCTAAAGTATAAGGAAAACAAAAAGAAAAAAAAATCTCATCACACTTAACATTTACCAGACACTCTTTTATTAAACATACAGTTTCTATTGTGAAGAAGCCACTTACCTGACACAAATATATCTTATGCAAATTCCACTCTTCGCCCAGAGCACAAATTTTGATATCACTGTTCTCCCCATTCAAAAACAGTGTCTGATAAATATACTTTGAAGTGCTTTTCAATTTTTTCCTAAACAAAAAAGGCAAGCAGATATATGCTCCATCAGATTTTTTCTGTTACAGAACCCACACTGAGTACTCGGTAGCGGTTTTTAACTCCCACGACGGACTGACCGCCCCCCTGTGCTGCTGCTCCCATCCCTTCCCCGCTCTGGTTTCACAGCTGGGACCTAGAATCATAGAATCATTCAGGTTGGAAGAGACCCTTGGGATCATCGAGTCCAACCATCTCCCCTACTCTACATAGTCCTACACCATATCCCCCAACACCGCATCTAAACGTCCCTTAAACACATCCAGGGATGGGGACTCAACCCCCTCCCCGGGCAGCCTATTCCAATGCCCAACCGCTCTTGCTGTGAAAAATTCTTTCCTCGTGTTCCATCTAAACCTGCCCTGTTGGAGCTTGAAGCCATTCCCTCTCCTTCTGTCACTAATTACCTGGGAGAAGAGACCAGCACCAGCCTCTCTACAGTGTCCTTTCAAGTAGTTGTAGAGAGTGATGAGGTCTCCCCTCAGCCTCCTCTTCCTCCAACTAAACAGCCCCAGCTCCTTCAGCCCCTCCTCATACGATTTGTTCTCCAGGCCCTTCCCCACCTTCGTTGCCCTCCTCTGCACCCGCTCCAGCACCTCCCGATCTCTCTTGGATTGAGGTGCCCCAAACTGGACCCAACACTCCAGGTGTGGCCTCACCACTGCTGAGTACAGGGGGACAAGCACCTCCCTGCTTCTGCTGCTCACACTAGTTCTCATCCAAGCCAGGAGGCCGTCGGCTTTCTTGCCCCCCTGGGCACACGCCGGCTCATATTCAGCCGCTTGTCAATGAGAACCCCCAGGGCTCTTTCTGCCGGGCAGCTCCAGCCACACTTCCCCCAGCCTGTGGTGCTGCAGGGGGTTAGTGGGGCCCAAGTGCGCAACCTGGCACTTGCCCTTGATGAAACTCATCCCACTGAGCTTGGCCCAACGATCCAATCTATCTAAGTCTCTCTGGAGAGCTTCCCTATCCTCCTGGGAATCAACACTGCTGCTTAACTTGGTGCCATCTGCGAACTTGCTGATGATACACCCTATGTCCTTATCGAGGTCGTCAATAAAGATGTTAATAGAACCTGTCCAAAGCAAAGAAGCGACCCCTGCCCCAGGCCCGCCACCCGCCTCACACTGAAACCCTCCTCCATCCATCACCCCCCTCCTCAACAAGCCCCCGAGCTCAGTCCCTCTGTGTCCCAACCATAACCCACCCCCACATCCAACCCTGCCGGGCCCCTCATCCCCTTCCCCTCGCCGCC